TGTATCTACTTGAGGTAAATGTTCAACTCATATGCCTGTATTTTGTTTGGCTGGACCCCTGAGTCAAATTTTACAAATATTTTTCAAAAAGGTTCATTTCTACCAATTTTTACTCACTAGTAATTTTTTCTGTGTACAATTTTTGTTTTATTTTACTTATTTTTACCATACATATTAGATAAAATAAGAGTATGTATTTATTTCTTAGCTAATTTGTTAAAACAAAATATACATGTGTATGTGTGTGTGTATGTGTGTGTATATGTGTGTGTGTGTGTGTCTATATATATATAGATATGGTAAGCAATTCACCTCAGCTATTTCAGGATCTCTCTAGTGACATAGTGGATAAGGCATTTGGCTGCTAACCAGAAGGTTGGTGGTTCAAACTCACCAGCTGCTCTGTGGGAGGATGATGAGGCACTCTACTTCCATAAAGATTTACAACTTTGGGACCCCACGGAGGTTACAATGAGTCAGAATTGACTCGAAGGCAGTGGGCTTGGTTTTGGAGTTTTTAGGTATTGTAAAATATTAAGAAAAACCCAACTTTCCTGTGTATTTTTTCCATACTTGAGGGTATTATATTCTAAAGTCCCCTTCTACTGTCACAGCAAAGAGCAAATGTTGGTGTTAGGTGCCATTGCATCTGTTCTGACTTACAGTGACCCTATGTACAACAGAACAAAACACTGCTTGATCTTGCACCATCCTCACAATCATTGATGTGTTTGAGCCCTTCTTTTTCACTGACCCGCTACAAAAAAAGAGCAAATGGAAGGGCCAAAATGGCTTGCTTTGTTCCAAATTTATCAATATTTTGGGGAAAGACATTGTTGTTGTTATGTGCCATCGAGATGGACCCGACTCATAGTGACCCCTCCTTGGGTTTCCGAGGCAGTATCACTATGGAAGTAGATTGCCCCATCTTCCTTCAGAGGAGTGGCTGGTGGGTTTGAACCATCAGCCTTCTAGTTAGCAGTCAAGTGCCTTAGCCACTATGCTACCAGAGCTCCCAGGGAAAGACATAGGAAAGGCATTTGTTGTTGTTGTTGTTATGTGCCGTCGAGTTGGCCCTGACTCATAGCGACCCCTCCTTGGGTTTCCAAGGCAGTATCACTACGGAAGTAGGATTGCCCAACCTTCCTTCCGAGGAGTGGCTGGTGGGTTTGAACCGCCAGCCGTCTGGTTAGCAGGTAAGTGTCTTAGCCACTATGCTACTACCAGAGCTCCCAGGAAAGGCATAGGGATGTTTAAAAAAAACAAAACAAAACTTTTTGCTCTCTTTTTTTCCCCTGATTTTTAGCTCTTTCAAAGTTCCTATGACTCACCATTTACTTCTGCTACTTCTCTGCCCCATTCTTTCTTGCTTCACTTTCTGCCTGTCATTCACCTTCTTTCTCTGTTCCAGGTGTCACTGACTGGGCTGAGGCTTTAGCTGTCCTCTGTCCCTCTCTGTTGCTTTCCTCTGTTGCCCCATCCCCATCTCTTTCCAATAGTTGCTCATCAGAGTCCCTAATTCATGATTATAATAGCTCAGAGAATAAACTCTTGTCCCTGCTGCTCAGCATGCGTTGGGATCAGAGACTAAGGAAAGCTGTGAAACTGTACTGGGGGCATGGCTCTAACAACAGCATGAAGGAGACCCACTTTCTGGGAGTCATCAGCTGACCTCAAGGAGGATAGGATGGATGACATGATCTCAGGAGGCTCTGCCAGATCACAGAACCTAGGAGTCGTATTTCAGTCACCATCATGTTAGATTTATTGGACACTCTCTGGGTACTTAGATCTGTAATAAATGAATTCGTCCTTCAAACCCTAAAATCCAGTTTTGACCTTTTTAGCAGCTATTTAGAACATTGTGACTTTTTCCAGGCTTTTGTTATTCTCTGTGTCATCATTTACTATAAAAGTTTTGGTTTTTGAAGGCATGTTAGAAGATTTAATAATGATGCAGGGACAATCCTTCATTAATTTTAGAATAATATCCTGTAGGTTTCACTGCAAATCAACTCCTCTTCTGCAAGTATAAGACCAGAGAGGGCATCCTCCAAAGAGGGAGGGTGGGACTCACGGATAGAACATCTATAGTCAGGCACCAGAACTGGGGTGGGGCAGGCAGAGGTGAATATCTTAGGAGAGGCTTGGGGAAGGAAAGGAGACCGAAAGAGAAAGCATGCACTTGGGAATAATTTTTCACTTAGTCAATAAATTCGTATTGAGTGTCCAATCTGTGCAGGCACTTTTCTAGATGCTGAAGATACAAGAGTACACAAAACATATTAAAACTCCCTATTCTCATGGAAGAGGAGCCCTAGTGGCACAGTGGTTAAAGCACTCAGCTGCTAACTGAAAAGTGTGTGGTTTAAGCCCACCTGTGGCTCTATGGGAGAAAGATGTTAGTCTGCTTCAGTAAAGATTTACAGCTTTGGAAATCCTGTAGGGCAGTTCTACTTTGTCCTATAGGGTAGCTATGAGTTGAAATCGACTCAATGGCAATGGGTTTTGCCCTTATGGAGGTGGCTCACTGGTAGAATTCTCACCTTCCATGCAGGAGTGTGTTCAATTCCTGGCCAATAAACTTCATGTGCAGCCACCACCCATCTGTCAGTGGAGGCTTGTGTGTTGCTGTGATGCTGAAAAGGTTCCAGCAGAGTTTTCAGATTAAGATAGACTAGGAAGAAAGGCCTGGTAGTCTATATCAGAGAATCAGCCTATGAAAACCCTAAGGATCACAGCTGATTTCATTGTGCATGGGGTTGCTGATGCAACAGCAGCTAACAACAACCCTCATGGAGCTTATGTTCTGACAAGAAGAGACAGTAAAGTAAAGGAATAGTTGGTGACATATACTAAAGCACAGAAGGGAGATAGAGACTACTGGGGGCTTTGATTTAAAAAGGATGATCAGGGAGGGTCTCACTGTTAAAAGACCTAGAGCTAACAGTAGAGTATAAGCCAGTGCAAAAATCTTGGCAAAAAGTATTCCAAGCAGGGAAGAACATGCGTTCATTTGCTTCTGCAAATGTCAGTAAGCCAAGTGTGGACTAAAAGTAACTTGGAGATGAGTAGAGTCAGATTCTGGATATATTCTGAAGGCAGCACTAATAGGATTTGCTGCTGGGTTGGACGTAGATTGTGAGAGGGTTTGACCAACAGGAAGGATGGAATTGCCATTGAATGTAATAGGGAAAATGTTGTGGGGGTGAGGAAGAGCTGGTTTAGGGATAAAGACCAGGAGCTCAGTATGGGACATGTTAAAGTTGAGTTCTGTGGAAGTAGAACACTATGTGGGGAAACCATGGATGTGAATCTTGAAGAAAATAAAATGGATTTGGCTAGAGAAGAGCCAAGGGAGAAAGCACGGGTGATTGGGGAGCTGATTACGAGGAGTACATTGTAGACAGTCTGTTTATCTACAGACAGTCGATGAAGCTAGGCATCAGCGAAGCTTGGACAGGCTTTTGAAGAGAGCACAATGGACCATGGCCTGGTGGAGAGCACGTGAATGGGAGTAGCATGAGCAGGCTGGGGGAGGCAACGCTGGGGCCTGCCTCTTGGGCTTTGAGAGGTTAGATAAAGAGTGAAACGATTCAGGAAGAGAAGGGAAAGTAAAATAGCCTCAGGGTATGGAGCAGGGGAGTTGGACAGGGGCTGGGAGTTATGGCCTCTATGAAAAATATTAAGAATGGCTCTTGAAGAAAGTAGTTGTGGATTGCACCAGGGAGGGAAAGGGACAACTCTGGGAATGGGGCAGGGCTGAGAGTTACAGGGCTGCTACTGGAGCCCAAGAAATCTTTTTGGCATGCAGGCTGACAGGGAGTATCAAGGGAGAGTGTCAGGTAAGCTCTGACTATAAAGTGTTCCATTCTCCCCTACGAAGCATTTCACCATTCAACGTAGCTAATTTATTTTATTCTGAGTTGTGTTCTCCACCTTAGAGTGCTTGTGCATGTACATGTGATAAGTGACAGGCATAGGTGGACCCACTTCCACAGATGTCTCCTTACACAGGGAACAGTTAGTGATTGTCTGCTGTGTGCTTTCCTACAGGTTGGCCGTCTTTCACTGTTTATTGCTCCTTTGAGCAGAAAAGCAGGGAGTCACTAAAACTCAAATACTGAAAACATTGTAATGCATTATTTGCAGTTCTGACAAAAATTTCAGTGGCTAAGAAGATTAAAACTAACAGTTGAATAAAATTTTGAATCGTGTGGCTTAATTATGTGTGAATTATATGCCTATGATTACAAATAATCAATAATCTACTAAATCAGTCAATACTTCTCTTCCACCATTTCCCTTTCTCTGGGCCCCCCTGCCCCCTGCCTTTTCCTGTATGCTCTCTGCCCTTCCATTTGACACTGCTCAGGCGACCTGGGCAGGAAAAGAGGGTAGATGGGAACAGAGACATCATTTTAAAATGAAGATGAGGATTCGAAGGGGATCCAAGGGCTAAGACAACTCTGGCCACCATTCCAGGTTGGGTGTTAAGAAGTGGGGAGGGGTAGAGAGCAAACTTTCCAGACTCCAGGCCCTCTGTTAGCATTTCTTGGGCCTGAATATGGTAGAAGAGGGTGGTGTGAGGGTGGGGAATCACGTGACTTTGAAAGCTCTCTCTGGAATAAGGTCCAAGACCTGATGGAGAGGGAAGAGAGGACAGAACAGAGAAGGCGTCTAAGAGAGCCATTTAGGCCTGCAGGCTGACAGCCCCTCCCTCCCTCTATCCCCCCAGCCCACACCAGAGCCAGGTTTCCTGACTGGGTCTTCAGGGGTGCAGTGAGAGGAACTGACAGGCCCATGGTCTTGAGGATTGGAGAAAGCAAGGAGGGGGTAAGGAGAGTGAGTTGGGGTGGTTTCGCTCTAGTACACAGTCATTGCTTCCCCACTTTGCCGTAGTGAAATCTGTGCTGTGTTTCTTCCCATCTCTTTGTCTTCCCTGAACCTCTTCCCACTCCCTGGATGGGCCACACTCTGGTACACTGTTTGTCCAGCAGCAGAGGGGAAGGCGTACAGCTCAGATGAAGAGAAGCTGGAGGCCCCAGTGGACGACCTGCCAGGCAGTGAGCAGGAGGAAGAAGGCTCAGGCGCTGACAGTGAGGATGACAGCTTCCTGGATGGTGCGACAGGTGGCCCTGGGGCACTCCTGGGACCCAAACCGAAGCTAAAGGAGGCCCTGGGGACTGGTGCTGAAGAGGGCGCTCCAGTAGCAGGAGGGGCAACAGCACCTGGGGGCAAGAGCCGGCGGCGCCGCACAGCCTTCACTAGCGAGCAGCTCCTGGAACTGGAGAAGGAGTTTCACTGCAAGAAGTACCTCTCACTGACCGAGCGCTCGCAGATTGCCCATGCCCTCAAGCTCAGTGAGGTGCAGGTCAAGATCTGGTTCCAAAACCGGCGTGCCAAGTGGAAGCGCATCAAAGCCGGTAACATCAGCAGCCGTTCTGGGGAGCCTGTGCGGAACCCCAAGATTGTGGTGCCCATCCCTGTCCATGTCAACAGGTTTGCTGTGCGCAGTCAGCACCAGCAGATGGAGCAGGGGGCCAGGCCCTGACACCCACATCTGGGATGGCACAGCTGGGACTGTTCCGGGAGGACTTCCCAGGACCAGGGCCCTTGGACCAGCTAAGGGCTAAAGGGTGTGCTGAGGGGCTAATGGGACTAAGGTGGACTATAGGGAGGGGTTAGGATCAGATACACCTGGCCAAAAGGCTCCTGACAATGCCCTGGAGTAGCCTTGGACAGGGGTGGGAGAAACCCAGGGTGATGCCAAGCCAAGCTGATGCCAGCTCCTTATTTATTTTGTGTGAAGTTTGTATATACCAAACACTACCTGCACCCCAAAAGTGGGAAGTCATTTCCTCAACCTCAGCCATCCTATCCCTTGGGGTCAGTGCCATCTTTCCTCTTTATTGCACCAGGACACACAGAAATAAATGTAACTGCCACTGGACTCCTGAGAAAGTCGTCTTCACATTGTCATCCACGTAAACTACCTCCATTGCTGCCCCTTGTCCACACCTTGTCCTGCCCACTGCACCCTCACGCTCCATGTGCAGCACTGCTTCCCCTCCCACCTCAACAGCTATACTTCCACTGTGCTCTCCACTGCTTGTAGGCAGAGTATCTACTTCTTGTGTATTTCAAGGGAAAAGGAGGCACTTGGCTTCATAAGCTGGGGTCTTTCCAGGCCTGTGTAATTTGGAAGAGGCTATCAAGAGGCTGGGGCAGGGCTGGGGCTTGTCTATGTCCACCTGTGAGCTCATTAATAAATTATTTTCCATGTAAAGGACATGACCACTGGGTCCATTTCTGCTGCTTGTTGATATTCCAACACAAGGGCCTGGGGAGAACAGATCCATTTCCAGTCTCTGCTTTGATGGCATGACTCATGATCTCTCTTCCTATCACACCTTTTAGGAAGGTTGGTAAACCAAAAACCCAACAAGAGGTTGATAGAGGCCCCTGCAAAGTGGATGGGCAGCTCTAGAAGGGTTGGTACTGTGGGGGATTCTGAGGTCAAAATTTTGACAGGCACATTAAGGAACAGGATTGTGGACAAAGTAAACACAAGGCTGGAGGCTTCAGGGGGTACTTGCAAGAAAACAGTGCCACATGAGGGAAACAAGGCCGACTACAGCCACTTACCATCTCCCAAACCTTCACAGGAAGGTGCTTTCCTGTCCAAACCCTGCATGGAGCTGGTTGTGGAACAGGCTATAGATATATCTGCACAGAAACTGGGAAGAAGGATGATTACAGAAGTCAGATGAAGTTGGTATCACGGCAGTTGGCGTGTGCTGATTTGTGAGGGAGTGAGGATAGAGAGCAGAGCCACTGAGAAAAATGGGCAAGTTTGGAACAAGCCCAGCACACTCAGGAAGTGAATTAAGGTGATAAGGACAGAGGAGAAGGGACCTGGCCATGAACTTTGCCTTTTTTAGATGGCAAATTCTGGCTGCTCTTGGTTCCTCGAGCATTTATGCAATACCTTATGGAGACTGGGAGAATCTTTCCTTGGCAACTGATGTCTCCTGGCTGGTTTTGGCAATCAAACAAAAGCACCTTGGACCAGAGACTGAAGGTTGACGACGGTATCAAAGTCTCCAGCCAGGACACATGGACCCGGCAAGTCTGCTCTACCCCTTAGCCAAATTTAAGTAGGATTAGGCTGAGAAAATAACAGTCCAGACCAGCCATTCCTAACCTGACAGAAATCAAGTTTAGGCCTGTCTAGCCCTAGACTCAGCCTACCCAGGGAACCTCTAAGGTTTACTTCTTAGGAGCTAAGCCAGGCAGAAGTTGAAGATTTCATGAGCCACTGTCATTTTGACTACAAGAAATCCATCTACACAGGTCTAGGCAGGAGCAGAGGTTCTTTGGCTGTGCCACCTGCAGAAGGTAGATAAGAGCCTGGGCAGGAAGGCTGCAGGGTTAACAGCTAGAACCAAGGCCCCCGTATGCCATTTTCTTCTGGACTGACCTATGAAGCCTCCTTAACTGTATCAAGCAGGATTCAGCCAGACCAATTTCCCTTAGGGAATCTGGAGGTGATTATTTCCAGTATTTTTCAAGCCCAGGAACCCATTTCTACATGTACTCATGACCCTGTCTCTATTCTGTCCTTATCTATAGTTAAGGCTCTTATCAGCTTTGCAAAAGGGGCTATGGGTGGAGAAACCATCAACTATGTAATAACCAACTACTACTCAGGAGAAACCATAAAACTTAATTTCTTCTGAGCAGTATTATTTGGTTATTCACCAACACACAGGCAGGTGCCCACACACAGAGCACCAGGCCATTAACACCCCATGTATACTGATGATGTTCTGGAAGGCAAGGGCTATCAGGTAGGGTGGTCTCCAGAATGGGAGAGCAATTAGCTTCTCAGAGAGCCAAGATCCTGATTAACATGTTCTTACCTTTTAAGAACTAGGGGAGAGAAGGGGCTTCCCCCAGGTTTTCTTTCTAGGATAAGGGGAGGGGGGAATCTCTGGACTCTGCCTACAACATGGCTCTGCAAGATGGTGGAGGGCCATCAGCTCCCCACCCCCCACCCCCCATCAAAAGAAAAGTCCAGATACAAGTCCATTTCTGCTGTAACTGAACAGTCTGCCGATAGAAGTGCTGCCCTAATACTCTTTTGGCTTTCTTGAAACTCTTCCCTTGCATGTTGATTTGCTCAGGCAGCCAGGTGAGTTCAGTCTTCTTTGCGGGGGAACACTTTCAGTGTAGGGGTGTGGCATGAGGTTACTTGATAAAATACTGGTGAAAATAAAGAGAGCAGCTGGACAGGATTTCTGAAGGTGGAGGTGGTGGAGGGAGCAAAGTGGGGAAGGCGATGCGCAGTAGGAACCAGAATTCTGTGTCTCCTTTTCTCAGGGCTCACCGTTCCTGAAAACACTCGCCTCCACCTTGGCAAGAGAAGGCTGGAAAAATAAAAGCAAGGGGGAGGCCAAGGAGGGAGACAGCATGGGAATCAGGCAAAAGAAAAGAAAGATAACTGAGAGGGGAGAGTATTCTAGAGCTCAGAGCAAAAATGAGAAGACTGGACAAAGCAATAGAGATGAGGGGCATTTGGGGAAAGGCAACGAGAGAAAAGGGGCAAACAAAGCCACACACAGCTTGGTTTATTGGCTCATCATACACGCAAAAAAATATGTACACAACATAAATATTCCAATGTACAATTTTACATGAGACTCAGAGATCAACCCCATCTCTTTCACCCAGTACCCCCTAACCTGGGCCCTATCCATTTTCCACTTTAGGATAAAGGCTTGCAGGGGGCTGGCACTAAAAGGTAGGAATCTGGAGGAGGGGAGAGGTCCTGCTCCCCTCTCCTCACAGGTACCTCCAAAGGGCCCGTCCCTTTTCAATGGCACCTACAGGGTAGAGGGCTAAATTCCTCCACTCCCACTGTCTGCTATAGCTTGAATCCCAAATCTCCCCTCTGACCCTTTCTCTCTTCCCCACTTATCTCTTCTCCTCTTTGAAGCTCTTCCTTAGTTTTTCCTCGTTACTTCCTTCTACATGTCCCTAACCCTTAGTCTCTGTGTCTTTGTCTCCCCAGTGCCTGCAGGGAGGTGGGTCCCCAGTCTGCATAGTCCTTCTGGCCCGTGGCCCTCTTCTGGGGCCTCATAGGAGGCTGGGACTTCGGTGCAACTCAGCAGAGGTGTTGGTGCCACTGGTGGGCTCTCGGCTTGGGGTGGGTGCTAAGCTGCAGCCCTCCCCAGGGCAGCCGTGCTGGAGCAAGATGTCTGCACACTCCTGGCTGCCGGCCCGGTGGGCATAGGCCAGGGGAGTCAGGCCCCGGGCGTCTTGGCTCCTCACATCTACCCCGTACTGCAGAGAAAGAACATTTTCCCAAGTGGCATAACAGGAGGAGAGAAGGGCGAGGTGGTCAGAGGTGTGGGTCAGAAGGTCTAAGGACTAGGCTGGCGCAGCACTCACCCAGATGAGCAGTTGTGTGAAGACCACGTTAGCCATGGCACTGGAGAGGTGCAGTGCAGTGCGCCCATCCCCATCCCCATACGTCTCGTTCACCTCCTCCTTGGACCCGTGTGCCAGCAGTGTCACCAACAGCCGCAGGTCGTCCTCTACCACGGCCCGAAGCAGTTGCTGTCCCAAGGGTACGTCCGAACCTGGCAGGGGTGCCAGGAAGAGCTTCTGCTCATATTTGGCCCGGATCCACCGCTCCTTTTCCTCCCTGCAACCACAGTCCACCAGGGGTCAGTCAGGGAAAGGTCAATTAAGGGCGGCAACCAGCTCCAAAAGGGGGCAAGCAGGGGTTGGTGAGAGACAGTTACACACAACATAGAGGAGAGACAGACCAAAGACACTCTGAAGCCTCATTCAACAGGGTGGGGATGGCTGAAAGGAAAGAGCATCAGATGCCTGGGACCAGTAGACTAGGGCCAGCAGGATGCCCTGAGTGGCCGTTTATCTGGCTGTCTGTATTTTCTCCAATTGGCAGTGCTGGAACAAAGGGTTAGGGGCCGGATGGGACAGGCCGCCTGTCCTATCTACCATCCATTCTCTCCATCTCTGCTTGCCAGTCCAGGCGCGGTGTACCTTGGCGATAGTGCCTGTGATAGTGCCTGCGCATGCGTGCCCTGCTGGCCCCTGACCTGTGATAACACTCAGAAAGGGCTCAAAAAGGGCCAATTGTTGGGAGGTGCTGAGTGACAGGCTGAGGGGGAGGGGCATTCCCAGGGGCTAGCAGCCAAGAAGCAACAGCCACTTTAACCCTTACAGCCCCCTACCAGCCATCTACACCACCCCTGGCCTCTCTTCTAAGGCTTGACATGACCCCCCTTTGATGGCGGCTCACCTGCATGCTTCAGGTCCTGGCTTTGAGTAGCCCTCCAGGGAGCCCTCCCAGACACTGTTGGCCAGTGCATTGCCCATGGCTGTCATGACTGCCAACAGCTCTGGGGGCCAGTCGTCCAGGTCAAGGGAACGTACACGAGACAGGTGTGCCCCCAGGTGCCGGTGAATTCCTGAGCACTCAATACACATCAGGGCGCCCAGGTTCAGGCTGGCCCAGTC